CGCCTAGGGGGGTGTTGGATTTAGATTTCGTAAGCCCATCTAGGTGCTCTTTGATTCTCACACACAGAGGCCTACCAGTTTCTCCTATGTATTGTTTCCCGAAAGTCTGACAAGTTATCTGGTAGACTACTCCTGCCTCCATGCAATCGCCTGGTTGACCAAATGGGCAGATGACGCAATCGACATTCATGCATAATCGGTCGTAACAGCGATTACGAATTAGTTGTTTTCTAAGGTTGGAAGGCGGGACGTCTATGATTCTAACGGAGTCTTTTAGGCCTGCTTGTTCTAAACTTTTCCTTATCGCTTTGCAGAAATCTTCAGATATGAAAGGAACACAAAAAGGTATTTTGACTTCATTTTTGGTTGCGCGCGGTCTGTATTCTTGCCAGGTACGTTTCGATGAATGGTCTGTGGGGTAACCATTAGACTGTGCAATTTGTCTGGCAAGACTCAATGATGTAGCGCGTTCCTCATCAGAGGAGACTGCCTTGGCAGTCTTAAACATATTACAAATTATCGACCTTTTTGTGCTCCAAGGATGGGCCGAGAGATAGTGAACTAATATATTTTTGCTGCTTGGTTTTCGGAACCATTTGGTCCTGTATGATCCATCACGCAATTGCACTTGTACGTTAAGAAAAGGCAGCCAGTTTTCGCGGGGCTTTTCTCGTGTGAACTTTATGTGCGGGGATTGGCTGTTCAAGAGATTGAAGCAAGTGTCTAGTTCGGCTTGCGTTGCGCACACTATACAACAATCATCTATATAGCGGCAATAAAGTATTGGTTTGCGCGCAAGATGGGGCTCTCGATTTTTGACATATAGGCAATGGCAACGACAGGTGCCAGCCTCTGCCCCATTGCCAATCCCCTGATTTGTTTATAGTACTGTCCGCACCACCGAAAAACGCTGCAGCTAAGACATTCTTTCAAGAGCACCATCACCTGCCGGATATTAAAACCGAACATGTTGATTGAACCGTGGTGTTCGTTCAGTATCTCGTAGACCGCTTCCATGGCCGCTTCATTCGACACATTCGTATATAACGAAGTGACATCGAATGATTCGATGACACATTCTTCACTTAGCGGTGCTTTACTGACTTGTTCAAGGAACATGCTAGTGTTTGTTAGGTGCGCAGGAATATATCAGCCTCTGTGTGTGAGAATCAAAGAGCACCTAGATGGGCTTACGAAATCTAAATCCAACACCCCCCTAGGCGCACATCGCAGAGAGGAACACTCAGATCAACAATTTAATATAGCTGTCACAATCTTGACGCGTGAATCAGAAACTGTTAGTCGTAAAACGCTGGAAGCATTTTGGATAACATCCAAAGCTCCAGCAATGAACCGCAAGGAAGAGGGCGCCGCCATGAATAGTGATCTGATCTCGTATCAGTCCCTCTGCGGATTTGATCTACACCGAGATTAGAATCATCTATATAAAGCAATTGTACTAGTTTCGCCAATACTAACTGTGCAGACGCTGTGTTTGGTGGTTGCTCAACCCTGATTCGAAGATTGCCGAGGTACGCATTGACGATGCTTTCCGTCACTGCTTTCGAACTAACTTAATGTTGAGTGTAGCCTTGGCTTGAAGGAGGTGTTTGGGGAGCAGACCACTAATGTATGCGATCTTCCAGGCTCTGACGAAGGTGAAGGCACCGAAACGTTGGCCTGACTGAATAAAGCGTGTTAACAATCTTGGTTATTGGCTATAGAATACGAATACAAAGAAAATAAAGTGTTTATATAACAATTAACAATTCCTTCCCTGAATTGGCGCAGGGGGATTAGCTCGTTTCGAGAGCTCAGCCTACGCAAATTTGATTAACTCTAACCAAGTAGAAAGACTCTGACAGAAATACTTGCGTGGGTGGGAAAGAGATGGCATTACTTTTCTGATAAGAACTTTCCTATCCAATGCTCTCTGAGGCAGAAAAGTTCTTTTTGAGTGATGATGGCAGAATGCAAGTAGCCCCTCTCAGCAAGACAGCCATCAAATGCAAACTTTTTCGATGAGAAAACAGAAAATCAAAAGTTTAGGAAGCTACAGTTTAGGAAGCCACGTAGCAACTACTACACTATGCCTGCATAACGATGAAAGACAAGGAAAAATAGCGGAACTCGAAAAAAAAGAAGCATTTTGTGATTTAGAAGAGGAATTTAGGAAAGGAAATATGAAGGAAGGCGAAGAGCTTGTGGATAAGCTATTCTACGAGATTTTTAAGTTAGACTAAACCAGCCTGTTGGTTTCTCAAGATCAATATTTCTTCAAATGTCTTGTTCAAAGTTCATAAGTCACTTGTGTGGATGCAAACTCAAGTTTTTACGACATCCGGCAAGGGGCTTTGCCCGACAGCTGGCCTAACACATAAATAAACCTATTTCTATTGCATTCTATCTAATAGAATTTATCTCTATCTCGATGTTCAACCTTCGACAGACGTTATTCGCTAACTTCACACATTACATCTCTTGTATAAAGTGTTGCGAAACTGAGTTTATTCATGAATTGATTCGTGTCAGCTAATTGTCTATCTCTTTCTGCTAGTCAAGATCATGTGAATAAACGAAATTTGAAATAAGTGATTAATCCAGCACGCGAGCGTCCTTAACTGCCAAATTATATAAGTTTGTCCTCTAAGTTTAACGGCAGTACATAGCTCATTCTTAACGTACATAGCATGATCACTAGAAATTAAATCCTCTGAGGATAAACACATATGGAGTGCCTGACACAAGATGACCTGAAAAAAGGACGAGATCTTTTCTAGCTACGATATATTATTCCCTTTATTTGAATATTGTATTCTTGCACTTTTCTCATTATTGTGAAACTCTCTGTATTATTTAGAGCTTTCCCTGTAATGAGCTCGGATTCATTATTGTATGAGCTAAAGTTACACTGCAACCAACTTTCGAAGCCGGATCTGGAGAAATTTTCAAGCAAAGAGGGTGAGAAAAACCGGCAATAACGAAATTTTCTGACATGGTGAGAAGTAGGAGTTGTTCATAATTTTAATAACTACAAGAAAAGAAGAAGCTGAAAGTTTCAGGGTATACATTCGAAATCTGAATTAAGACTGTTACAATTTCAAATATCAATTTCGAAAAACCTCAACGGAGATGTTCACTTCGTCTTCATATCAAATACACAAATACATAGCAAATTTCGATCACTTCTAATAACAATAAAAACATACTTTGTTTTTGCGAAATGGGTCCCACACTGCTTTACAACATATATGACACTACCTACACATGTATACAAACTAACAACCAACGTCTTTTTGTTACACAAAGCGGAAATTAGACTTCGGATGGCTTTTTGATCAACCTTTGTTTAGAAAAAAGAAGAAACCTGTTTTTTCTATCTAGATCTCCACATATACGCACAGCCGCAGGCAAGAAATGATAGATTGAAAAGATGAGGTGGTTAGTGTTGAAGAATGAAAAACAAATATATAATCAAATAAGTTTATACGGGATAGAAAAAGCATTCTAAACAGCAGATTGCAGCATTCGTGGATATGCGATGAACGCTGCAATCGATTGTACGATCAAACATTCGATCGCGATATTCCACAAAAAACCCTTTCAATCCTTTGTTTAGCTTATCGCATTGAATAAACATTATAAACATGATTTTCGGAAACATATTTGAGACAGTGCCATGCGGGTTATTTGGGTTATTTCTATGTTAGAGAAGCTACTTTGAAGCTTTACGTGCATAACAAATGTGATCGTAGGATGAGCTGTGCAGTGTCTTCAAAATTTCCTTTAGAAAAGTGGTAAGTAAGCGCTCAAAATCATCAATTGTTCGATCACTGCGATTGAATTCACGCAAAACATCTCGAAGAGCCTCGTTAGAATCTGTTTGACTACACCAGAACGGTTGAAATGGATGTACAATTCCCTCAACGATGTTTCCTAGCTGTATTTGAGAGTCAAAACGATGGAGGTCATGTTACCATCTCGCTCATAAGTCCAAAAACGAGAAGTACTGTAATATGTATGCTAGCATGACCATATAAAGTGCGCACATGTACAGTCAGTGTCAATTGCGTGTTTCCTTTTCCGTAAACCCAAAGAGCTTCGCGCGACGTTCGCGCGCGTATGACTCGGGCACTCAAATGGGCCTCATGGATCGGAGGTCCGCACGCAGAGCCCTTGCGTTGCGCATGCGTAATTCCCATGCGAAAGGAAGCGTAAATGACATTGACTGTAGGTACTCGCTATTGCTAAACTGGCACATAAACACCTTGAAAGCATAGACTTTACTTTTTAAGAGCTCTTATTTACCAAGCTATGAACCGCTATAGCAGAACGCCATGTGAATACTGGGATGAGAAAGAAACGAAAGTTTCGATGGTTAGACAACAAAAAATGATTAAATGCCGTAACAGTGGAGCTGCAGTATTTGACTCAAAAATATTTGGTAATTTTGCATTCATCCTATGGTCTGACTCATTTGAACCTATCAAAGGTCTCGTCATAAACTCAACGAAGTGCAGGATAGCAGCTTCACTTAAAATATGAATTATGTAACACAAAAGCTATACTACAGGAGCAAATACACTAGTCATCAAACATTGAATCACTACCACATACTTTTGCCATTTACTGCTTGACATGCACCACTTTATCACAAAATTCCTCAAGTTCTTCACTCACATATACACTTCTGCAATGTGAAGATTTATTGAGAAAACAATCACAATTTTTTCTAAACCCGCTTCAGATTATTTGAGGCTGACATGTAGACCCGAAAGATATGTGCAAGACAGAGAGATATATGTGATACATATAGAAACTACAAATGTAGGACGAGTGCAAAATTTTCAAAAGCGATAATCAAATATATGTAAAAACAATAAGTATAGCCGTTCAACATGAGGACTAGAAAGAGATCGCAGAGATGAACTGCTGCATCGCAAATTAAGAGAAAAGTTTTGTGAAGAGCAGGTCAGGGGCGCTTCATCTTCTCTTCTTATGCCAGATTTACCCATGGAAAACAAAAACGATTACTGGATATCATTCCAGATTCCAGCTGCATACGGAAGAATTTCTTCGAATCGTCTTATCGTTTAATTACGAAGAAGCTGTCTCGGGGATCGGTGGAAGGGCTGAAAATTTGTAGATGAACAGCATAATAATGTGTAAGAAATACTCGTTAATTTTGCAATTTCCCCAATTTTGCACAGAGAGAGAAATTAGTAAATTCCAAACAAGTCAGTAAACAGTCAAAGAGTTCAGTCACTTTCACTCTTTTAATATTTTCTTCACTTTAGTGGAGAACTATCATGCACACCCTTGCCTAACAACAAAACTCTAACGATATTGAACAAACACAACGATGATTGTTTGGTTCCGCATTCGTGCAAAAAAACAGACTGCGTCGAAGATTTATTGTTATGGTAACTGATCGAAGTAACAAGTTTTTTTGGCGCTTGCAAAGAACTGATTGACTCATTAAATCTGAAAGTGTACTATCAGATAAACTTGGCAACAGAGATAGCAAAAGCGAACAATTCTTGGCCCAGACGAATGCACATTTGCTTCAATGTTTGTTTTTCGAAGAACTGCCAAATTGTTTCTTGCATCTGCTGATACAAAAATGAGAAGTTTCTCTAACGTCTACCAAATAAACTTACTCAAAAAATCTGATCCAGCAACATGTCGATCTGGACTCAGGGATCCAAACATAGATGATGATTCTCGACGCGAATTTCGGCCGGAAAACCCACGACATAGTCGAGGTACGGCGAATTTTCTAGATAAAAACCAGTGTGTTACTGTAACTTCCACTTTCGTGCATTTGCGTACCTGGTACAGGTTGGGCTTAAGCTCTGAGGAGAAGCTGGACGTCGTTCGGCGAAAGGCGATTCGAAAGCGACAGCAAATGGTGATCGGCCTTCGTGCGGAGTTCGCTGTGAGGGCTAAAATGTACATATTTTGAAGGCATGAACAACTTTATAGCAAATATGATCTTCATAGACGATGTTTTTGATAAAAGAATAAGTGAGTCAAAATTTCTTTTTGGGTGACCCACATTACTGCGGTTGGGCAGAAAAGAGAGGGAAAAGAAAAAGGAAAAGGAACGATACTAGTTTTGTTTTATCATATAACTAAATAAATCATTCTTCAAATATTGCGAGCGACATCCACTAGAGCAAAAGTCAAGCAAAAAACTAAGGCAATTTTCCTTTACTAATGTGGTTTGGCTTTATTTGCAGTTATCTGAATCCTCACAATCATTACGATTTTGATAGTGCATACAAAAAGAATCATCATACATTTGCATACCGTTTCTTGCCTCCCAAAATGATGTGAGAAAGTTCAACAGTCTTTCCTTTTTTAAGCAAACTTTCCTCTTACCTGAATATCCTCCTCTTCTGACTCGGCAATCTCTTCGAACGAGCACACCGTCGAAATACGCTCATCACGTCGTACCATCACTGGTGGTCGCACTTCAGTGCTAAATTTTTGGAACTGTCGTTGTTGTGGGTTTGCGGCTGCCATCTGTAATCAATTTTTTCTAGGATAAAATTGGCGTTGCACACAATGTATCTCTACGTGAACAGTGACAGCAGCATTCATACACGAGCTCGGTTAAAGTCTGCGAAACAAAACGTCTTATCTAATAATCAAGCAGAACCACCTTTGATATCGAATAAACTACTTCTAGAGGACCTAGGCTCGCAGGTTTGCGTTAATGAAGAGTGGATTGTGCATAGTAAGAATACGATGCATGGTAGCAGGCTGAGCATGAAGCAAACAACTCGTAGAAAAAAAATCACCTAAATGCGATTCCACCCAAAGAAGTGACGGAATGATGAGTACTATAACCGTGAAGCCTGCAATACTTGACTACGCAATTTCATGGTAAATCCATCAGCCTGTCAGCGCAGCAGGGCTGAGAGATGTTCCGCCAATCAAAACTTTCACCTCGCAATTACGTCAAAAAAGGAAGCCAATACGCAGTGCAGACAGCTGTTCAGAGGGTTCATTATTTGGGCAGAGGCCAAAGCTCATAAGGTTGAAATTCACGGAACGATTGCTAGGCTACACAAAGACAATGTCATGTCAATGCAAACTGGCTTGATTGGCACCAATATGAAGAAGCTTTATCGTATTTGATTTTGCCCAAAAAATTACGAAAATCGATAGCAGATGTAGCACCTCAAATTGTATGCGAGACAGTTCATATACAGAAATATATTTAAGATAGAGTGATATAGTTGAAAAACGCCGGCACAGAGTGCCGAAAAAGTTGCGTTAGAAAGGGAAAAATAGCTTAATTTGAGTGACACAGCTATTCGTGACTTTGTTCTGGAGAGCTTGAAGTGTAAGCGTCGGGCGAAGTAATGGAGATGGAAGAGCAACCATAAAAACTAGATTCAACAAATTCAGTATGAGATACAAAATTACCCACTAAATCACAGAAAGCTAAATATAATCCTAGAAAAAACAAGGAAACTACAATTGTAGACGTCTAATCTGCCGAGGCCGATTATCTCAGTCTTCTTGGACCTGATCTACCAAAGCTGATGATTTCCGATCATTCTATACACAGAATGTGATATATGGTGATGTGGAGACATCCCTCCTTCTATTCACACTCCCCAGCAAGTTTAACTGATTGAGAGAAGTGAGAGAGATCTTTGCTACGCAGTCATTAAAGGCCTAGTTTTTGGCCAACTAGTTCGTCATATCCGTTTTTTGCAATAACTGGCAAAAAATCGTCTGCAAAGCAGCACGTGACCAGCAGGTACGTCATCGCACCTAATGAGGGGGAAAATAATGCCCGAAAGCTTTGGCGGGCCTTTGTTCGTGAGTTGAAAAAGGAAATCAAAACGATAGCGGGTGAGCTGAAGCAGAACATTATGACGTACGGTTAATACGTGTCCGAGCATGGTCCCTAAATGCTGCAAGAGGCGACCTTTGATGTTATGCAGGCCACGCCCATTCCGCCACCCCTTCCACCTGTCGCACAGAAAAAAAAGGGGAGTACTGCTAAGATGCAGTAAAACAATTCTTTGACGAAATTCATGCCTTATTATGAAGGATTGGTATGAATTTAAAACTGATCAGTTCTGTTACTAAAGATTAAAACATCCGATAAATCTCAAGCAGCTCTTGATGCTTATGGTAGAAAAAGCAGAAAAAGATGTACTACTTTTTTTTCTCTAACAACTGGAGCAATTTCTTTTTTTGCAACCTCAAAAAAAGTGCTTAACATCAGAATAATTGTTGGAAGTTTTTGTTGACAAAACATGACGACATGATGATGATGATAGCCATTAGAGCAAACGTCATACCATTTCCGACATACTGTGCATTTGATTAGTAGAATAGCAACCTTTTTGATATGACAGACGGCATCTGCCGAACTCCATCTCTAAGCTGCGGCACTTTTTGGATGCGTTTGCGAAAAATTGAGAGAAGCTATCTCTTCAAATTTATTAGCAGGAAAAAATAAACAGAAATATGCAAAAGTGGCTCAAACAATTTGACTTTTAGCTTTCTAAAACACTCAACGAACGAGGAGAATTAAGAGAAAAACAAGGCACTAAACTTGTATGTTAGACTGGCACTTTGAATGCGCGCAACCTACGATTTCTCTTTGGATAAAACGACTGCAATGGGCTTTTAAAAAAGGCTAGCAGCAAGTGGTAACTGGTACAAGTAATTCATATAGAAGCCATGGAACGTAAAGCTGCACTATTAACGTGGGGAATAAACAAGCTCAAATCTTCTAGGATAAGCTCACTGCGGCTCACTGCTCGTAGATCGTTCGAAATGAATCACCCATGGCCGCCTAGTGTATGAAAATCAGTCAGAATAGAATAAAGTACACAAACTCCATTCTAAGTTCATTGACTGGTCCAAGCAACATTTATTGAGAAGTCTTGTAAAACGAGATTCTTTCGTATAGATAAAAAGTATATATGTTCGACTTTTGAGGGCAGTGACGTCGAGCAAAATGCAATTACTCTTTGGAAATATTGCATCGGATATAGCAAAAGTTTATACCGTGAACTAGACTGGCAGGTTTTCTAGTTGTTCTGGTCTTTGACATCCGCTTCCCTGTTGAAAAGCCGCGACTGCAGAGTTTCAGACGCTTAAGCAGTCGGCCAAAAAGGGAGGGGAAAGAAAAATGGAAGCCAAAGAAAATGAGAAAAAGAGATCGTTTTATAGCCCTTCAAATTCTCTCAAAGTCGATGCCGATGGGAAATTTTATGAATAACTAGAAAGTAATTTGAGACACCTTCCCTCTTTCTTACCCTGGGATAGACAAATTTGAAAAAAATACCCTGCGTAACAGTAACAGCTACTACCTGCCACAAGTATGGGGTTGCGGGGCTCCGCCGCGCATGTTTACAACCGCGGGGGACACGCCCCTCGGCTTAACTTCCAACGGGGGTTTTCCGAACGCAACCGAATGAACGACGAGCAAATGCACGTGCACGCCGGTGCAGAGAACAACTTAGGGGTGACGACTTTACCAGCCACGGGAATTCCCATGATTGGAAAAGCGGAAAAGTGTCAAAGCAAGAAATGGAAACTCTTTAAAACAGCTTCTTCCAAAGCTCGTTGTGCATATCTAAAATATAAAGAATCGTTAACTCAATTCAAAAATCTGCAAATAGCGGGGAACCGCGTGGCGGTCCCGAAGCGAACGCTCTTCCAAATATCACCTTTAGATTACTGGTTCACTAGTGCATTGATACATAATACAAGTGTGCAATAAAATCTGATTTGCATCTGTAAATACATTAAAATTCAATAGTAATTGTGGATGATCATGCTTACCAACGTTGTTTCATCTTGTACGGCAAATAAATTCTTTGCAATTTGAGAATGGCCAGTATTAAACCTGTTAAGAATACTCTTAGAAGTCTAATCAAGCTAAAGATAACGTCCCTTTGCAGCAATTTACAGAAAATGGCAGCAGACTAGCACGTCATTGCAAATGTCCGTAATTGCCCCAATGGGGAAAAGAAGAAGGCAAATTAGTACGTTGAAGCCTTCTAGGGTAGCTTGCGTTCAGAAGCCGCAGAGACGTAAGGAACACAGTTGATGGAAATGGGTGAAGGCTTCGGACACGGCGCAACACCAAGGTCTCATGCTACTAAGCACTCGACCTTGTGATTGAAATATAGGTATTACGTACTACAATCCATTATCCCTAGGGGCCACACCCTTCACTACTTCTTTGAAGCACTTGCTGTGTTAAAACTTAGGTCCAGAGGCAGATAAAAAATTGAATTACCATAACGAAGTCCATGACACGTCCATACCGTCTTTTATTTCAGAACAGCTTCTTCAGCAAAACTCTCCATGCTGCTTTCGTCGTAATTTGCCTGCGAAAGAGTAGCAAAATTGTGTTTCAAAGCTTGCGGCTATGTATTGTGTGACTCAAGCTTGCAGAATTTTGAGATTGAATTTTCAAATCTCGAAAAAAAAAACAAGCAGATTTCTGCGATATATTTGGTCGTTCAGAAAGTTCTTTCCGTTTTCTCAACCTATCATAAAAACACGTGGGATGAAGGTAGAAAAACGCTTCAGGCATTGTCCGACGCAGCTTTTCTTTCTCTTCTTAACTGTCATATTTCTGTGCCACTCGCTTTTGTGGTCAGTGAGAAAATGATCGAAATTTCGAGCCCACAGTTTTTACCGTGTCCAACTTTGGCAATTTTTCACAATCTTCTTTTTTGATTTTTGAAGAAGCTTTGATAGCAATCAGATAGAGTAAGCGAAGTACAATTCAATGCAATTTTTCGGCATCTATAGCTACCCTCAAAATTTTTTTAGAATTATTTATCTGATGCTATCAAATTCCAGTAAAACGGCGCACAACTAAGGTGTCATTCGATGCAGCTTTTCCTCCTCTTTCTACTGATTATTTTTCTTCTCAATTTGTGGGGGTTTTGGCGACAAAATTTCCATAATTTTTGATCTGAACCCGCCCAAGGGTGTACAGGGTGAAATGCAAAATCTATTTCGAAACGGTAAACACTCACTTACTTTGTAAAAATAGTGGACAATCATAAATGACTTTTAAAAGTGTCGAAATCCGAAGTTTTGTTAATATTCGGAGCGTTTGTTTTGTGACTTCGAAAAAGTGAAGACTTCTGGAAAAGTTATCTCAAGAAATACTGAGAAGCCAGTTAAAATTGCCAAAAGATATCATTAAATTGCACTTCGATTACTCTATCTGATTGCTATCAAAGCTTTTCCAAAAGTCGAAAAGGAAGATTTTGAAAAATTGCCAAGTTGGGCATGGTAAAAACCATGGGTTCAAAATTTCCATTACCTCACTGCCAACAAGAGCAAGCGGCACAGGAATATGACAGTTGGAAAGTGGAAGAAAATCTGCGTCTGATAATGCTTGAAGCGTTTCCCTATCTTCATTCCACGTGTTTTTATGATAGGTTGAAAAAACGGAAAGAACTTTCGGAACCGCCTAATTTACGGAAAAAAAAGAAGAATCAAACATGCTATCAAAATTTCAAGTAACATTCTACGTAGCTCTTTTTCGCGAGCTCTGATTTCCAAGTGCCAATGACAGTGACAAGTAATTCAAGTGACACCCATACTTTGCACACATCTTTCGGCAAGGTATTTTAATCTCATCTAGGATGGGCCCCTTCCAGATGTTTGGCGCAAACACGATGAACCCTGCGGTACAAAGGAAAAAACCGATAGGGCCCATTTCTTTCAGAAAATTTGAAGAGAATGCTTACCTCGTCACTTCTGACAAACCGCTTTTTTCGAAGAATGTGCGAAAATTTCCTGATAACACAAAAATCCCCTCTGTAAACATCTTACATTTTATCTTATCGGTATAATCCAAAGCGTGACGGGGGTTACTCTCAGCTCTTTCCAGCATTCTTCCTTGTATTATAACTACTAACAGAGACTTTAAATCGAGCAGTCTTTGCTAGCGCTGTGTAAATCTCGTGAGATGTCAGCAAGATTTGGAGTGCGAGTCACGTGCTGTTTTGATAGAAGCGTGCAGAAATTGCAAAACTCAGAGGAAACACATGTGGAATACGGAAAAGCCTAATTTCATTTGGTATGTTGAGAGTAGCCAACTATGGCAGGAATGCAGCAGATGAGCAATAAGCAGAACATGAATTCTGTTCATTAGAAAAATCCACAAATATTTGCAATATCACAATCACATAGAAGTAATTAATTTGATGAAATTGATTGAAAATGACGCAGGTTTTCTTTCAGGCAATGTTTGCTTTGAAATGCCACACACTCCAAGTTTTTGTTACCCTATCTTGTCATAACTTCAATGTGAATGTTAGTTTTCTCAAGCAGTCTTCGTTTTCAAATCTCATAAAGCTATCATTATTTTTTTACTTGCTATCTTCAAGAAATTGGCATGAGCCATGTCTACAACAGCACTTTTTGAATCCTCAGTTTTTGGCTTCAAACGAACCCAGCTCTAAATGGGCAAAAACACATATCTACACTCCACCAACACATCTATTCGTTCACGAGTTCAACATCTGTGGTAGCGGATTTGGGGATCGTAAACTTATTTCTGCTGAATGACAAGATGACATTGGAAGCGCTTAACTTTTCGTGGTTTGTAAAAACTAATGGATGTTGCAGACCTGGAAGAGGAGAAACCGGAAGTCGTGGGAGTAATGAATCATGCAAGAGCGAATCCATAGAAAATCTGGTTCCGCTCTTATTGAGCAGAAAAGCGTGGGATGAATATTGCGGCAATATGGCTGCAAAAGAAACATCTGGCATTAGACTGAGGGAATTTCGGGTAAAGGTCAGAATGATTCATTCACGAACGAAACTTGAGTATAAATAGTTTTACATGGCGACAGAATGTCGTAGGCACAATGAACCGCAGGTGCATGAATCATAGTCAATACTTTTTTTTCGGGTTATGTCTGCGTGAGCAGACGTTGCGCAATATTTAACTCAAATTCAGCTAATGCGTTTAAAGTAACATGAGATGTCATTAACATTTCAGTGCATTTTGTGTTCACAAAATTTAGCGGGAAAATATCTATAAGTGACAATCTGTAACTGCGAACTCAAAATTGACAATCAAAAAGCAGCCGTTACAAATTCTGTTTTTCGAACTGGCCCAGTTTCTAGTCCAAGATAATTCCCTATCAAAATTGCTTCCACATTTCGTAGCTCACACCTTCAGCTCAAAATCGAAGCATGGACGCATTTTTAAGGTCTAGTGTAAGTTCCACATCGTTGAAGATCCAGCATATCTCCTACCCATAAAAATCAAAGCTGACGATTTTTACTATTGAACATTCTATCTTGAGAGCCATATCATAGAATCGGTCCCAGTAAATCATCAGAAAACAAGAGGTAAAGTGTTTATATAAATTTCTTCGCCCAAATGGCGCAAACCGAGTGACTCGTTTCAGGCGCTCAGCCTACGCAAACTTAGTTACGACTCTGACTGAGTGAAATACCCTAAAAGTCAACTGCGTGGGTGAAACAAAGGAGGCGATGCGTTGCTGGCAGAAACTTCCTTATTCAATGTTCTCTGAGGCAGAAAAAATCTTTTCTTGAATGATGACAGCATAACGCAAATGCGCTTTGCAGCAAGCCAGCCATTAAATGCAAACTTATTAGGTGAGAAAAAGAAAATCAAAGTTTCAGGACGCCAACCCTCATAACGATGAAAGACAAGGGAAAAGTAGAGGAACTTGAATAGAAGAGCCATTTCCTGTTTTAAAGAGGAATTTACGGAGGCAAAAATGAAAGAAAAGACGAGAGGCTTTTGAATGAGCCATATTACGAGATTTTTAAGTCAAGCTAACACCATCCTGCTGCTATTTCAATATCAAATTTTCTCCAAACATTTTGGTCAAAGTTCATAAGTGAATTATGTGCAATCTTGCGCAAAAGTTTGGTCAAAGGGCATTGCCCGACAGTTGGTCCCATACCAAATAAAGCTATTTCTTACATTCTATTATCTCTATGTATTTCGATGTTCAACCTTCGATAGACGTTCTTCGCTAACATCAGACTTACATAGAATGTTGCAAAAGTGAATTTATTCACTAATTAATTGCCATTCGCTAATTGTCTATATTTTTACTGGTCAAGATCATGTAAAAAAAAATAATAAAATTTGAAAGACGTGATGGATTTATCAGCACGCAAACGCTTCTAAGTATCATTTTTTATAAGCTTACCCTTCAAGTTTAACAGTAGTACATAATGCATTTTTTATGAATTCCAGTTACATCGCATGACACTAAAAACTCTGGAATCTCTGAGATATGGAGAGTATCGAGAGAATATGACCTGAGAAAGTACAAGATTTCTTCAAGCTACAATATAATATTCCCTTCATTTGTATAGTGTATCGTAGCTCAAGGAAACCCTCGCACTTTTCTTGTTATGGCGTTTGCTGGTCCTGCTTTTCCCGCGGGAAATGCTACATTGTTACCTATTTCAAAGCCTGGCTCCGGAAAAATTTCCAAGCAAAGAGATGAGAAGTAAAATTGTGCAGCATAATTTCAACGATTACGACATAAGAAAAAATTGGAACTTTAGGGCAATATGCTCAAAATCTGAATTGAAACTACTATTAAAACTTCAAGTATCAAACCTGAAAAATCTCAACAGCGGATGTTGACTACGTCTTCGTACCAAATACGCAAATATATAGCAACTTTTGGTCGCTTGTAATAACGATAAAAACATACTTTGTTTTTGCAAATGCGTGCCCATTACACTGCTTTACAACATATATGACACCACAAATGTATACAAACTAGCAAACAAACGTCTATTTTGTTACACAAAGCGGAAATCAGGCTTGAAAGGAACTTTGACCAATTTTTGTTTAGGAAAAAGAGGAAGAAACTGCTTTTTTCTCTAGCCCTACTTATACGCACAGCCACAGGCATCAAATGGGGGATGGTGTGATAAGTTGAAACGTGGTGGTTGAAGTTGAGGACTGAATAGATGAGCAAATAATCAAATAAACCAAAATTTTTCGAAATAGAAAAAGCATACAAAACGATTGCAGCGTTCGCGGATATGCGATGAATGCTGCAATAGATTATGCGATCAAACATTCGATCGCGCTGTTCCTTAAAAACCCATTCAAAGCTTATAGCGTGGGTAAACGTTTCACGAAAATGGTTCTTGCAAAAATATCGATTTGATAGGCAACGATGGCCTGATGTTGGAGGAGCATCTTCGAAACGTTATCTGCATAGCTAATGTAGCAGTGAAATACAAGCTGTGCAGTGTCTTCACAAAATTTTTTTGAAAAGTACCAACCGAGCGCTCAAATTTGCTTATTCTGGTTATGGAGTTTATTACAGTGGACACTATGCTTCCACGTGTCAAAACTCTTCAGATCTTGAGCAGACATCATATTAGTGAAAATTTATTACAAAGATATCGACAAACACAATCGATCTTAGACCCGTTCAAATATTCAAATATTCAAGGCTTCAGTTGTAACATACACTACTAAACATATGCAAACACTTGTGAAATCTACCTAACAGGGCAAAATAAAAAACTTTGATCCGAACTTGCACGAGGAAAGTACAAGACGAATAGTTGAAGAGAGGCTATAAAGAGATCACAAGAACAAAAATTCTGTAGCATTACGGATAAGGCAGAAAAGTTCTATGATAAATTAGTCAAAGGCGGTCGACCTTTCCTATTTACAGAAGTAGTTCAGAATCTTTTCAAGTGAATAATTCATTGTGAGAGAAGTATTGGTACCTATGTACACTGTACATCGCGTGAATTAGACTGATTCCGGCAAGGGGATTTCCTTGCAATAACACATCGGATTACGATGAGGCTGTCTCAGGGATCGCTGGAAGGGCTGGAATACATGAATAAAGTTGTCATAAAAGTTTTAACTTTGTTTGCTAGTTGATCCTTAATTTCTCTTGGGATATCTTTAGGGTGTAATATAGGCAAGTAGCTAATAAAACGCAATTTAAAACCAAAAAGACCAAAAATAAATTGCTTCTAGAAAAGTTCGCTCATACAAAAGTTGATGAGCGAGCTGGAATCTGCGTCGTGGGTCGTTTATCGGGAAATTTCTGTTCAATTGCATATTATGGATTTTCTCTGTATTCTCTAAAAATTTCGCTAAGAAATCACTTACTGAGAAAATCAGATCCAGCGTCATGTCTATCAGGACTCAGAGAACCAAACACAGTTGATGTTTGTCGATGACGTAGGCAAGGATCCGAAAAATTACGACATATTTGCGGTACGGCGAATTTCCTGAAAGAAATACTGTAACATAAGTAAGTAATCGACTGTGAATTTGGGCACCTTGCGAAATTTGGGCTAAGGTTCCGAGGGGAGGTTCGGCGCCGTTCGGCAAAAGGCGATTCAAAAGCGATAGCAAAGGGTGATCGCCCATCGGGTGAAGTTCGCTCTGGGAGCTGAAAAGCATATATCATTATAACAGCAACATTTTGGCTAAAAAAGCTTTGTATGATCTTGCAACACCAGCTCCTTCCTCCTCTCCTCTCCTATTTCTTCATTTTCAGCTATTATGAGCGTTTGATATGTAGTAAAATATTACTGTGTCAAAGCTAAAATTCGATATGAGATGGCTCCCTACGGAAAAAAAACAAGACATTCTTTCTGATCATGACGCGATAATTTCAATCGACATGGTTATAACGAAGAAACAGGTTGCCCATTCTATAGCAAAAAAAACGATGATGTAAGAGACAGGCTGTCCCACTAGTTTCCATTTCATTTCTAATGAGGGTTTTGTGTTAATTTCAGTGCCGCGCTGACTCATCACAATAAAATCAATTCAACAAAAATGAGCATAGTATTTTAGACATCCACCTGCTCGGGTTGCACCTGTTGGATGCTAAAGATATGTAAGTAAAATCCCGCAGTTCATGTTGAAAACAAAAAAGGATACCCATTGACCGTGGCCTTCTGCAATGCGATGTGCACCTTAAGATGCATCCCAAAATGCTGATTTTAAAAATACCTCCGCTGTCTGCAAAACGATCTTCTGAAGGAAGTTATGAACGTCTTTTCTAACTATTGGATAGTTAAAATCGCCGATAGAAGTTTAGTTTATCGTTTGTACTAAAGGAAATGTTAGACAGACTGTTGTTGTATTACGATTGAATATTAAAGCTCATGTGCGACAGTTTGAATGGCAAGGAAATTTTAGATGATTTTGTACCTCGCAGTAACTTCAATTTATTTTCGAAAAATAATTACAACCTTTTTTCAGACAATCGTTTCGCAGATATGGAAGACAGTTTTGAAACTAGCATTCAAATGAGCATTTTTCGGCCCCGGCACCAAAGTATCCTTCTCTTTAAGACTATTCGGACGCTCCAGAAAAGGGCCGTAAGTTCCTTCTTGCCAGTTCTTGGTCAGCGCACAAAATTTCGATGACCTTCTTCTAGCCTTTCAAAAAACAATCGGACTGAGATAGCGTCCATACATGACATATGAGATAAGTTCAAATTCACCTATTCACTTAAAGTGACTTGGAGTTAACTAACCGCGACCAATCTCTTAAAGTGAATTGACCTACTCTCTTCGCTCTCAACAAATTAGGCAAAGCCTCAAACTTTATCGGAACCTTTCTTCTCACCTGGATATCCTCCTCCTCTGACTCAGCAATCTCTTCAAATGAGCATACCATCAAACGAATTCGATCATCTCGTTGTACCATATCAGATGGTCTAACTTCGGTGCTGAACTTGTGAAAAAACGTAATTTGTCGCTGTTGTGGGTTTGCGGTTGCCATCTGTAATTGCGGACTTGTCTAGTAAGAGAACTATATTCACATCTAACGCGGCCTATACGTAAACTGACATGAGCACGGAAAAATTTGGGAAACTGGAAACTTGTGAGAAGAGAGTTGTCCTTACGATAGAAAAGGATTCCATCAGCAATTCAGATATGAGGTTCACTTATGCTACGAAGCTAATACCTGCAGCAGAACTAAATAGATAAGGATGAATTTTCCATTTAAAGGAGTTATTTATTCAACGTTACAGCAAAGAACGTTCGCTGCTCAGAAAGACAATACCCCACAACAAAATGATACATCATGTTGTTTGTTTTGGCGAAGCACCAAAGTACTGGCTTCTTATTTGAAAGGGCAAGTCTCCCCTCCATAGGAACGCTATAAATTCACTTATCAACCAAATGTCTGCAAAAAGTGACAGTTCGAAGACGATGATCGATGATTTCTTGTAATTGAAATGACAGAAACCATCCGAGAGTGCTTTGCAGCCTCAAAGAAGAATCACGAAAACAAAAAGAATAGACAGTAATCTTGCAGTTCCGACAAATCGACATCGGTGAGAAAAATTGGTAGGAGTGAGAAAAGGACTAAGAGCTGGAGAAAGGCGGAATTATCAGTGTAAAAGCACAGAAAACAATCTAGCTGAAAAACCTCAAACGTCATTCTAGTACAAGCATTAGAGCGCCTAGCAACATTGTAGGGCTTTATAACCGCAAAAGCTTTTAAGAAGTGTCAGGTTTTCCCAGAAGTGCGTAATTCTACGCTGAACGTGGGAACAGGATGCCCCAGAAAAGAAGTACACAGAGCTCAACGAACGCTCAACCGGACATGTGCTTCTAAACTTTGCGTTGTTGGGCAACATGCATCAGGTATTCCTCAAGGGAACTCCAGAGGTGAATGGGACAGGGGCAGCAAGTGACAAAAAGTGTTTGCCAGAGAAGTCTAACTTTTGTAGAAAAAGTTCTTCTGAAAATTTGAACAGCAAAAGTTGCGTCAATGAGCTTGCTCAGTTTCGAAAAAAAATATTTCTCATTACAACGAAAATGCTAGGAGATAAAATTTTGAAGCTATAGCAGGTCTCATACAAGTTTTCACTTACTTTTCGCTTTGGATTAGTGAAGCATCATTCCTAGCTTTGCTCAAACGGAAAAGTGCGATCATATGTGCATGGATATTTTGAAATAGAAAACCACTGCGAAAAAAAAAACAAAACCAGAATAAGCAAAAAAACTTCGTATGATTTTCAAAAATAATCGTAACTTGTTAAATCAATCAGAATTTACAGCTTTGTCCATACAAGACATTCCAAACAGATGAGACTTTTTGAGTATTTGAAACTCATAAAAAAGGAAGAAATTTGTACGAACAAACATTTTCTAGTCTTATAAACCCCATGCGACCCTAACTGTAAACATCAAGGCCGTTGAAATAGACTTGTCATTGTAATTTGAGTACTTTCAAGGATTAGAACTACACGAGACTACATTATCGCACCCAATAAGACTATAGAATACATGCATGTGAGTCCCAAGAGGACTTAAGAAGGGTAGAGTGCTAAGACATGTGCCAATACGAAGGGATTATGTACTCGACCACGAGTATCTAAAGTACACATATATAAGTATTACGTACTAACGACGATCCTTTGATTTTCACTCCGCAGACCACGCCCATTTAGCCACGCCCTTCGTCATTTACCATGTGCAAAAGAAGAGAAAAGGCACGTGAACAGAGAGCGGAGAATTGCGAATCTGTGGTTCGACTAAGTTTTGATAATGTCAGCTCTTGAGAGTTTAGAGTTTGAAATAATGATTTTTGTTCTCGTAAAAATGCTTTCAGACTTCGAAGACTTTCATAAATCGGGAACAAGTCGTAACAGAACGTGTAGTTTTCTTCGTTTTCAATCTCAAAAACTACCGCAGGGCCTTTAGATAATTGCCTCAGAATTACATACAATCAAAAACATTCTGTCGACATTGCCCATGTAAGCCATAACAATCTAGCATTTTCCGTAAAATTACGTACTTGAGCGGATAAGCCAAAGCCTGCCTCATATGACAGCAATTTGTGAGGACATCACATTCTTGAGCAATCGTTGTAATCGCATACCATATCAAAAGCTGTAGCTTTGGACATGCGATAAAGAAAAAAGAAACTTAGAACTTTAGGAAATAAAATTTAGTGAACCTTTTGGCACGTTTTGATAGAAAACTTAAATTCTGAACTCTGCTGTAATGAGCTCTATGGGGAGTTCATGAGCGCATTTTGGAAACTTTCTGGTCATTGACAACTCTTTCAACCTCGTTTTTTCTCGTTTTTCCCTTCCATTCTGAAGCTCTGAAATCTTCAAAATAATTAAGATATAGGTCAAGAATCGCAGCATACGTGTTAATGAGCCAGCCGGCGTCAAGCCCGTGCTTCTATAGCCCGTAGTAAAGCTCGATCAGTTCAGGTGAACTGAACTTATCCCATCAGTTCACCTCACGTCAGGTGAACTGATGACCGCCCATCCTCCCATGCTATAAGAATGGCGAGTGAACTGATAGTTGACCATCTGTCCACCTGCTGCAGTCAACTCTTCCACATCAGTTCACGTTCAAGTGACCTGAACGTGAACTGATGTTAGAGTGATGCAAATAGTGTGTAAAAGAGGAGATGCAGACAAGACTCCCGTAAGTTGCTCCTGAGTAACTTACGATACACATCAGTCAGGCTAAAAATGCAGACAAAATCGGCGTAAAACTGCACAACCCGCGCCCGAAAAGGAGAGGATCGATGAACAGCTGATTTTGGCGAGGATAACAAAAAACAAAATCTTCTCTTTTTTGTAAACCTTGTTGGTTTTTTTCACTAGCTGTCCAAATCAAAAACTCATTTATTCATTTCATCAAATTCACGCCAAACATTTCGTTTTTTCATAGAATTTTCGTCACAAATTGCGTTTTTGTTTTATCCGTGCATATGCTAGGCGAAATCCTTGGTAGCGGTCATCATCGTTTGCGTAGTGGCCGCTATCAAAGAGATTGCCCAGCGATGTATCAAAAGGTTTGTCGCTAGTCGGACTCGAACCACGGCCGCGCGCGTGTAATTCCAATCGCTTACCCGTTTGACCAAACCAGTTCAAGTGGTTTTTTTTTTCAAAAGCGCGCTTGATTGTGATGCCTCGGAAGCGATCCGCGTCCAGATCAATGGCTCGCCGGATGCTAGATTGAGGCGTGATGAGATCAACGCCGGTCCGTGTCGAGAGAGATGCCCTGATGGGGGGTTTACTACGGGCCTATTTGTTTCGAACTCTGGAATATAAATGCTTCACTAAAAAACTGAGCAGAAAAGAAATAGAATATATTTCATCAATAGCTATGGCCCATGATCATCAGAATCACTCCCAAACATGTATCATTTTTTCCGAGAAAAGCCGTCGTCAAAAATATTGTTTCAACGTATGAGTATGCATGAACAGAGTGAAAAGTATTTGAACGTTGATCTGGTTGTCGCGCGGAAATTGATGAGTAACAAAATTATTCCCAGAAAAATTTTTTGCGCAAAGATATGGATTATTCAAGGAATTTTGGAACGCTTAGCTGTTAAGAAACTATTATAACTTCATTTTGTACATGCTATTTTAGACAAGGAACAACAAAGTGCATTTTCGTAAATAATCAAATATTGTATGTCTGCCAATCAACTTCACCTGAATAATTGTCACATATCAATTTATAAGTGCACAGCCATCAACCTATAAGGCTGTAAGCATCAAGTTTCGCTACTAATGATGTGATGCAGCTGAAGTCCATAAAAAGCAACTGCTTTCGTTATGCTTTTAGTTCAAAAAAAACTCGGAAAAAGAGAAAAGACATCAGAGGACAGCGTCGTGGTCATGAGTTTTTGGCGAACTGCATGCGCTTTCTAACGAGGAAAGGTAAGACCAATTTATTTGTATGTAATCGGTTTTGAAATCAAAAAGTGTATGTGGGTCTTTAATTTCTGTCCTATTTACATGCCTGCAGCCACGCCCGGGTATGAACTTTTAGCGGGGTTTTTCCCCGTATTTCCCGTACTCAAACAGGGCGAGAAAGGCGAGAACACATGAACAAGAACGCAAAGAACAGGTTGCACTGAATTATAAATTCCATTGTGTAAACGCATTCATGTTCAATCCCCATGTAAATATTGAAGAGATTGTTGCGGACGTGAAAACATGTAACTAGCGAATGATCAAGCAGCACAGCCATAAAAGTAGATTTATGAAAATCAGTTGGCAACTCCGGTCAGAATTTATTCCTACTTGTTCGAAAACCCGCCAAAAACTTTTCTCTTATCACCGCTTCCGGTCAAACAATAGGACTTGTGACCGTTTTCTCCTCGAAAGTAGATCCTAGATCAACGTTATTACCAGAGTCAAGCGTGGGGTGTGGCATGCCACACCTGAGGGGTCGTATTGAAGAATCAGAGGGGGGGGTCGCCAAGGCGTCCGCTGTTCGCATAATATGCTCAGACAATCGACGGCATACTCCGGAGCGAAAGTGGGAGGGGGGGGGGGGGCGGCGTCTGCCCAGCGGAGGTTTGCCACTCGTGCTCCGGAGTCCTCCCATTTTACTTTTGGTGCTCCGGGGCTCCTCCAAATCTGGCGCGCCTCAGGAACAGAGATTTGCGAGCTCCGGAGAGTGGTCCCATCCGCTTTTTCGTGACGTCACAAGAAGGCCGAAGTTAATCAACTAAGTTAATCATGCTGTAAAATGGCGATTTCACTTAGGTGACACAGGATCTTGAAAACTTCAGAATTCGCTCAAACATTGTCTATAGGAGTTACTTGACATGCTAATCATGGATATGTTGCCCGTTATGTTTGACAGGGCCTTCAAGTAATGCTAAGTTAGGTATGTAGTTCAGGGGGTCTTATTGAGACAGCAAGAGGGGGGGGGGGGATCGTAACCAGCGATCGTCTGCCACAACTCTTCCTTGACCCTGGTTATTACTCCTTTTCAAGAAGAATCCGC